TCACTGATACTCAAATAGAACGACTGCGCGCCCTCAATCTCACGGCACCAGATGAAGCTGCCAACACTCAGGCTGTCAATACCACAGTGGACAACGACAACGACAATGATAACGAAGTCGACGACGGACCAACAAATGTCGAAGCACACGTGGAGTTGGCCAAAACACCTCGTGTGTCATTAAGCACCTGTCACTTTCAAACTACACTAACATATGATTTAGAATATAAACGTGCTCGCACCATTGCTGCATTAGCAATTGAATTATCAATCCCACATCTCTCGAATCTTCTGCGACACTTTCTCTTCGGTCAACTCAACCGCAACGATCCCCGTGATCCATCAGAGGTTCCCCTAGCTTACTGTCCCCAATTCGATGACAAAATCAGTGTTTTCAACTCTGCTTGTTCGAGATTTTTTGCGCCAAGTGATCTCAGTGGTATTGGGGGCATGCGCCGTGAGTATATTCGTGCATGTCCGATATGGAGAAACGAGCATCCTCAGTTTGATTGTGTCTTCGTCAACATGAATCCAGGTCTCGATGGTATGAGGGGCATGGATGTCGCACGAGTACTGACATTTTTTTCTTTTACTTACAAGCGAAAATTATACTCATGTGCAGTTGTGCGGTGGTTTGATACCATTGGAGACTCGCTGAACGAAGACACTGGAATGTGGGTTGTACAGCCTGCTCATAATAACAACAACACGCCCCATATTTCCGTCATACATATTGATTCAATCTACCGCGCCGCACACCTTATTCCTGTATATGGTACTCGAGTTATTCCTGTGCAACATCACCACCATCAGACCTATGATATTTTCCACCGTTTTTATGTTAACAAATATGCAGATCATCACTCCTTTGAAATTGCATTTTAGACTTTTTTCGGTCTAGCATTTGCTTATGACACTTGTTTCCAGCTTTTTTGAACTTCGCACATGAACTTGTTTAGAAGCTCGAACTGCTTTTTCACAAGTAGAAAAAGTGATGATTAAGTCGGCTGAAAAATCTTCCTAACAGAAATTAAGTAACATAAGGTGAAATAAGGAACCTGTCGTTTTCCTGATGTATTATGATTTTCGTGCTGACATCTCTATAGTGGTATCCACTCTTAATGTGATTGTCATCTCTGTGTTCCCTGTGAGCTCTTTTCTGATTACGTAGGCTTCGAAGAACTGAGCACGCCCTTAGCTCTCATACAGCGAGATGTTAAACGTGTTAGCCTGGTCATATATATATATACAGTTGAAATGCTCATAATGCATATGCTAACAATGCATAAGTCTCATAATGCATGGACTTTTTTGGATCCCGACGGCATTCCCATGTAATTGACCGCATAATGCATATTGCATAATGCATAACCTTTGCATAGCCAATATGCATTATGAGGTACCAAATTGATAGGATGGGACAATAGGTACAACAATGTATTGCATAAATTTATTGTTCTGCTTCAGTGGTATTGTCTCATTCGACTATGTATAGAAGCTAACAAGTAATCATGACAGTATGATACCACAAAACAATGTCCGTAAACCCAAAACGCAAACCCCGTGACAAGCCCACTGTCTATAACCGACCTGTGAAGCGGCAGAAAATCACCAAGGACACTCCTCGAACTTCAGCTCATTCTCCCAAATGCACTTCTCGCCACAATCTTACACTCTCTGACTGGTTAACAGTCTATTCATTTGTTGATTCTCATCCTACTGTATCACAGATTGAAATTGTTGAACACTTTAAATCTCTCAAGTCGGGTGCACTCAATTTCACGCAGTCAACCTTATCACGCAAGTTGCGGGAACGTCCAAAAATGGAAGCATGGATCAACGATAACCCTAATGCATTGTCATCGAAGCGGCCAAGGATTGTCACAAGGCCCGATGTCGAACGTGCCTTAATTCTGTGGGTTAGGCACATGGAGAGTAGATGTGAAACAGTGACTGGGCCTATGCTGCGAGAGAAACGGAAAAGGTTTGAAGATGAGTTTGATGTCCCGGAAAATGAAAGGCTGTCGGGGGAATGGCTCCAATCATTTTGTACTGCCTACAAGATTCGCGAGTACCGACGGCATGGAGAAGCTGGGTCTGTTGACATCGAAGCTGTTGATAAAGAATGAGAGCGTTGTCATAAGATCTTGGCGAAGTTTGCTCCCAAAGATCGGTGGAATTTTGACGAGACATCGTTCTTTCCTTAGTGAGTGTTCATTTATATTAATCTATGTCACCTAATTTTTTTTCATTTTAGTGCACCTCCAGACCGTGGTCTTGCAACACAACAAATGAGTGGTAAGAAGAAAGAGAAATTCTGTATCTCTATCGGATTAGCCTGCAACGCAGATGGAAGCAAGAGGCTCGAGCCTTTTTTTATCGGCAGGGCAAAGAAACCCCGATGCTTCAAGAAGCAGACACTGGAACACCAGGGATTTTATTATCGGAATAATAAGAAGGCTTGGATGACAGCAGTCATATTTGAGGAGTACGTGGACATGATGATATGATTGCTGTTAATATCTAATCAGTGGCCTAGATGGATCAAAAAACTCGATCTTCAGATGAAGCAACAAAACCGGCACATTTGCATGTTTATTGATAATTTCTCTGCCCACAGCATCTCGTATCAACCATCAAACATTGATCTTGAATTTTTTGGGCCCAACATGACACCATTTGTCCAACCATGCGATGCTGGAATCATCCGATGCTTCAAGGCACTATATCGCCGTAATTTTTGCGCGCGCGCTATTGATCTTGATGAAGCTGGCGAACGGGATATTTATAAAATTAATATTCTCGAAGGCATGACAATGGCGAAGCAAGCATGGTATGCTGTCACGTCCGAAATCATCAAACATTGTTGGGATCACACTGACATTCAAGTGTAAGTCATCTTTTGACCTCATTTTTTTCGGTGCTCAAGTCTATCACAGTGATCCAACGACTAACACTGACACACAGCCTCACACGGATCCACTTGCGTGGAACATCGTCCACAAATTCGCAACTACCGAAATGTCCCTTCCCAATGCGGAGAACAAGCTACAGGCTCTTCTTGGCAAGCACTACATAGATTCTGATTGGAGACCGGCCCTCAAAGCTGTAATGGATGCTGAAGGAGATGTGGAGATGGCTTTAAATGCCATTGATGCACTTATGCAAGCTGCATCTCGTCGTACCGGCCTCAAAATTTGTATTCCCGCGCGCTCACAACAAGCTGCCCAGCTATCTTCTACCGAAGCTGCGCTTATGCAATCAGTCCGAGAACTCCAAGCACGCAATCGCATTTTCGGTACCTTGCCAACTATCGATGAACTTCTGGACCCCGCTGAGGAGAGAGATAAGGGAGAATTCTCTGCTTTTGAAGGTGGTGACTCATCCATTGCAGACACGGTCCGCCACGAAATTGCCGTTGCAAATGGTGAAGTTATCGAGGTTGATTCTGATGACGACGACGACGACGAAGTGGATCCATCAATCACTCGTCAAAATATTCTCGATTTGTGCCAGCAGCTTGAAGTTGGATGCATGCAATATGGTGATCCTCAATTTTCACTTGATTTATCATCACAACTTCGAAAGTTTCGCGCGAACCTACGATGCGAAGAACTACTTAATGCCAGACAAACTTCTTTAGAACAATTCTTCTCGGTATAATACATGTACTTCTGTAGGACTATGGACAATTTTCTGTCACACTTTTGGCGGAGGTCACATGCGTCACAATAGTGTGACACATATGCTATTGCATATGTCTCATAATGCATAACGTTTGGGCGGTCCCAACGGTATGCATTATGAGCATTTCAACTGTATCGTCAAAAGCTCATATTCGACATTTTAGACCCCAGATCGTTGTGCACAGCATTCTCGCTTCACGAATACTATTTAGTCTTCAAGCGAACAGGGAGCAATCGGTCATTCCCACATACCTATTGACGAATGCACCGGAAATGCAATCGATTCCAGACGGGTTTCAAGCGTGGTATGAAGGCAGGGAGACATGTACTGGTGCTGGCCAGCCAGATCAAGCTTAGACGTGCTAATAATTTCGTGGGTCCCATGGATAGCATTGTCATTTTAGTTAGCTGACTATGAATTGCTCGTCTCCTAGTTTCTCTTTGTCGTTGTAACGGAGATGTCGATTGCAGTGGTCCATGGAAGAGATAGCAGCGTAGTCAGCCAATTAACATCGTTGACAGGTCAAACCATAATTTCAGAACCGGCGTTAGCTGGAGCTCCGGAAACACTTGAACGTTCGACAGCCCCTCGAACTCGACTTGAAGCTCAGTGAACCACGAGTAAGACTAGGCACAATCGATCATATTTCAGATAAGTTCAAAATATCCACATTGCTCGAGCAATACGAAAACTTGTCCCAAAACAACTGTACTGATTGACTGCGAACTAGGCATCGCACTGTCAACCATGGTACCAAAGCGAAAGCAGAAGCATAACTTACTGTCCCCATGTGCCCTTCATACTGCCGGCTCAATTTTGTAACCTAATCCGAGACAATCTCGCAGACCATAGCTCCATTCTAAGGCACGCAGGTGAGTCATGCGATTGAATCCTAGTTGCACAGCGACCTGTTCATACTCACGTTAAGTCCACAAGTCGTGCCTGGGCAGCAATCTGCAGTTGTACTGCAACTTTGGCCATAACAATATGCACTGACATGCATAGCTGCTGTCAAAGCAGCAACAATGGCGATGAAGGAGAAACACATTTTCTGTGCGAGGTGATATGGAATCTTCTGAGGGGATCTTGAATAGTATCTCCGAGGATGGGGGAACGCTGTAGGACGACGGCCAGCTTTTATATCCTGCATACACTTATGGGCACGACTCTGATCAATCTGGAAGAATTGTTATTGCTCAGGTCAGACGGCAGAACTTTCGGTAGAATTTGCAGGAGCATGTTCCCTTGTATCATGACCTGCCATCCCTGGGTAGTATAGTAGTTCATGATAGTGAGTTCTCTCGCATAAATCACTCATTTGAACCGTCTCTGGCAGCACTCCACCCGTGCTATGTGCATGCTGCTAGTCTTTAAAGAACAACCGGTGTAGAGAATCATGCCTCTCATGGCGTGATATGGCAGTTTCCACCAGGGAGTATACAGCACCAACTCGCAGCACCACTCTGTGTACTGTCCACAGCGATTCCTATATGAGGCGCAGCTTTCCCGCGCAATGCGCGCCATGCGCGCATCATTCCCGCGCTTTGCGATGTATACGCGCGCGCGCGTTCCCGCGCTTGCGCGCCCTATAGCGCCAGCCATCCAGAAGCATCCATCCACTGTCCACCAAGCTCCCTAGTGAGTATATTTCCATTTCCTTTATTAGCATAGTGTTCCACCTTTATTTTTATCATGGACTCTCACCCATATATATCCTTACATACCTACTCGGTAGCGCTTCGGCTCCGCATGACCGCGCTTAGGCACGCTATATAAGCGCCAGCAGTACATACTATTACGGGGAACTTTTTCACCCATCTTTACTTACCTACTTAATACCTAGAAAGTCGCAGTAGAAACCTATTCATTAGCACATCACATCTCTTCTCTTATCTTGTATCATATCATCACTTAAGTTTAGTCTCTCTTATTTCACGCCTCGCGCGCGCGCCTTTCCCGCGCTTCGCGCTAATACGCGCGCGCATTCCCACGCCTTCGTACCTTGCACGCACCTGCGCTTTCTCGCGCTTCGCATTTCCGCGCATACCTCTAGATCTTTGCTGTACTCACTTCCCCTTTAGGGTCGAACGCACTTGTCTCCTCAAGTAACGCAGACTAGGCAACGCGCGACCTTTCAACATTTATAGATACTGTCAGGAGCATCATTTGTTCCTAGCAGTATTGTTGTTTCTACACCGGTTCATTCTGCGACCTGGCGTCCACTACCTCACTCATTTCGGCCGGCCGTGCCTGCCGCGGACGTGACATGAGTTGCAATACCAACTTCACTAAAGATTAATATTGATCTTTGTATTCAGTTTGCACTGCAATCCCCACTTGTTCACGAGTGTACATTTGAGCATGTCGACGGCAGATGGACTTCCCAGCTTCCGCAGCTTTGATGACGCTGTGTTGTCGAAGGTTTGGCCTAATTTTGCCGAGTGTTTCAAATGTGTTCAGTCCCGCTGGTAATATGGTAGGTTATGATACAATGGTCGTAATCAATTGTACACGCTATTGCAGGTTCTACCGAAATTTCTGCCATCTGACAGCAATGACAAATTCTGCTAAATTGATCAGAGTCGTGTCCATTAGAACACGGAGGATATAAAAGCTGGCCGTCGTTTCCCCATCCTCAGAGATATCATTTGAGATCTCTCTTAGAAGATTCCATAGCATCTCGCATGTTTCTCCTTCCTCGCCGTTGTCATTGCTTTGACCGCATCTATATCTGTCAGCGCATGTGGCACATCTACATCAACATGCAAAACAGATGGCAGATTGCTGCGCAAAGCTATGTTTGTAGAATTGATGTGAGTACGAGCACTCAGGAGTTGGCATGTGTTTGGCTATAATTACACTTCAACTTTGCCGCTAAGCCGCACAAATTCTCAAAACCTGATCAGGAGTATTATAATCTGTGGTGTACATCCCTGGTCTAAGGCAGAACTCAGGAGGGGTAACGGAAGAACTTCAGGGTACCTGAGACTCACAGGGATGTAAATCAGATCTTTGAATTCAATAGAACATGAAAACCAACGTCCCTGAAGTACACAATTCTGCCAAATCGATGAGAATCATGCCCATAAGTATATGCAGGATATAAAAAGCTGATCGTTGTCCTACAGTGTTTCCTCATCCTCAGAGACATCATTCAAGATCTCCCTCAGAAGAACCCATATTATCTCGCACCGAAAATACATTTTTCCCTGCTCGCCATTGTCGTTGCTTTGACAGCATCTATGTCTGTCAGTGCATGTGCGGCCCAAGGATTATCATGCGAAGTAGAAAATTGCTGCGATAACCTTGTTTGTGTGAGCATGTCGCTGTGCAACAAGGATTTAACCACATGACTCACCTGAGCCCCTTAGAATATCGTATATCTCTGCGAGTCGCCTGGCCTGCTGAAAATCAGGCCGGCAGCCTGAGCGGCACGTCGCGACAGTGAGTCATGTTTCGACTTTCACTTTGTTATCATGGTTGAAGGGTGCAATACCTAGTTCAGAGTTAACCAGTACGGTTTTTTTTGGAAAAAATTTGTACTGCTCGAGAAATGTGGATGTTTGAATTCATCTAAAATGATTGACCGCGCCTAGGCGCAGAAAATGCGGTTTGTCGTCCCCGCGGCTGTCGTTGCTTTCACTACGGTGTCTGCAATATTTAAGACAAGTCTGAATGTCGTGTGAAATGTCAAGGCAATACTTAGTATTTAGCTTGTCATGTAAGCAGATATAAAATTTCAAATGTTAAAGAGATCTTGCGTGACAAGAAAAATATAAAGCAATAGCGAACATTTTGTTGCCGGCTGAATGCCATCAACAATAAGAAATATAAATACATCTTTAATGCTGGCCTATACTTCGAAATGAAGCTTCACATTTAAGACTCCAAAAAACTTTAAGCATTGCACATGACCAAATGCCTGCTCATAATATGAAGTTTGGGCCACCACTTAGACGGGCGTTTAAATTTAAAATACCCCTTGACAATAAAACGTGAACATAAAACATCAAGTTTTGTCTCCAGATAAAATTAATTGCCCAACGATCGCCCGCTCATCGCCCACTTATGAGTGCACGAGTAGAGTTCTGTTCGTTTGAAGAAAACTTGTACAATTTTTTTCGCATCAGAATAAGTCCTTTGGGGTCACAGACCCCATGTTGGACATGTTTCGTCATATGCTTTCGGTATACATGTATTCTATAATAGTACAATTTTTTTCGCATCAGATTAAGTCCTTTGGGGTCGCAGACCCTATGTTGGACATGTTTCGTCGTATGCGTTCCCCCGTACCCATGTATTCTAATATTCTAATAGTACAGTACAGTAGTGACACAAAATAATCTAATTGTCCGTGAATGCTAAGAGGACATCAGAGCTGCACATTAAACAACAAAAAAGATAGCTTACCACTTGCTTTGGTAGTGAGAAAGTCAGAACATGCCGCGTCAAGATTCTTCTTGAATTTCTTCGTCGCTCCATTGAATTTGAGTCCATGTTTCCAATGTGTGTTGTTCACCAGACCATTGTTGTCGGATGAATCGCGGCGACGAGAAACACCTTGTCGGATGTTTTCAAGGCGTGTCTGGAACCAGCTTTCGCATCGAGCAGACCAGAACCCCACATCCAACCCTGACCCAGCCCAGGCCTGCGGCCTAGGCCACCAAGACAACTTCTCTATGCATCCGTTGTCTGATGATTCAAATTTGAGCGCACTGCGGGTCAATGTGAATTAAGAAAACTTACTTGTGTATACATAATACGTCCCACAAATGAAATCAACCTCCTCTTCCGATAACCCGTTGTCAAAGTGAGTCTCACCATTGATGGTGAGCATTTGTCCAAATGGGACAGCATCCCATGAAATGCCAATGAGGGCCGAGGGGAGGTTATCGAAGCCAAGGCTATGTAGTGCTAGCCGCCATAAGATTCCACCGCGAAGCAGAGCAGCTCGTGCACGATCTTCATTCATGAACTAGTGACGGTACTGCTCATATGCGATATAATCAGCGTAAACGGCCTTGAAGGGGGGCCGGAAGTATCCGAGCGAGAATGTACGAAGTTTGCTGAGCGGGCGCCTAGCCTCAGGAGAAACTGCCATGGGCTGCAGTGTCTTGAACGTGATACCTTTTTGCAGGAGCTTGAGGGCAATGGTCGAGATGTCGGACCCCCAGTCACGACGGAGGCACATTACAGCTGTAGCAGCGTCAGGAACCATGAGTTTCCACGGGACGAGACTTCTTGATTGGCTTGGCTGGATTACGTAGAGTCGCTCCTGGCTGGGGATGTCGAGATAGCAAACTCGAATGAACACATTTGACGCCGACAAAGGAGTGCCAGGTGCCAGGTCCCAGTGATCGGCCGGGATCTCAGACAACTGCGACGTGGGGAGGGTGACAAGATAACCCACGAAGCATGTAATGACATGCTTTTGCACGTCTGAGATTGAGTCGACATCCTTACCTGAATCTCCGACAATGTTGCAGACGTGGTTGAACTTCTGCTTCTTGACCCAACTTTCAAAAGCGGCAGATCCAGCATTGGATCTGGTGGTCCCACCGTTGGATCTGGTGGTCCCACCATTGGATCTGGTGGTCCCACCATTGGATCTGACGGCTCCACCATTGGTGCTGGCGCTGTTATTCTGCACCTCACTGGAGGTTCCACCATTGGGTCTGGAGGTTCCACCAATGGATCTAGTGCTTGATGCCGTCAGATGGAAGCCGAGGTGAAATCGTAAGTGGGTTATGAAGTGTTCAATACCCTCGGTGTAATCGGACGAGGCTGCAACCTCATGACGCCCGAAGTAAGTGCGAATATCCTGCAAGAAGCTGGATAATGATGGAGGTACAGGGGGAGGTGGTGGCACAGGATCAGGGATGGGGTCCAGGAAATTGAACTGGTCTTCTTCCCAGTTGCCGTCAGGGGTGCTGGTGGGATCCAGCTGATCACACAAGTCCCACTCATTTCTGAATGAGTCGTACAGCCTGGTAGAGTTGCTGTAGTTCCCCCAAGTCCCCAATACCTCAGCCTTCGTGAGGCGGATGCGAAGTAAAAAGCCCTCAAACTCGTCTTGAGGTTGCCATTTGAATACCGTGGCCGTACTGGACTTTCCAGGAAGACTATGATTCTTCGCTGCCCGTTCCCGACTCTCACGCGATTGCCGTTGAGAAGGGGATTCTTTTTCCTCCTTCTTCCGATTTTCCTCGCGGCGTCGCGTAAAAAAAGTCTTCCAATCTTCTACCGACTTTTGGCCACTGAGTCGTTGAGGGGCCGGAAAGCGAGGGTCCACTTGAGGATTCTCAGGTGCGGTTCCCCGTCCAAGAGCAGGCTGAGTTGCATTGGCATCCCACCCAAGGGCAGGCTGAGTTGTGTTGGTATCCCACCCAAGGGCGCTCCTGCTCTGAGTTCCATCATCCCGCTTACCCCACACGTCATCATCCTGGCCCCAGCCATCATTCTGACCCCAGGTGTCATTACTTACGCGCTGCGCCTCGATTGCACGTGCGACAGCTTCCTTGGACGGGTTATAGTGACGCAGCTTCGCGTCGAACGCAGAGTTGTTCTGCTTGCAGTGAACCCAGACCAGGATTGAGAAGCATTCGAATATAGGGAGCTGTAGCTCCCAAGGGCAATGGACAGATGATATGATGACGCCGGTGCGCGGAACTTTGGCCGACAGATCTCCGACAAATGAACGCAATAATTCGTGGACCCATTCGGCCGGTATGGGGCTTCGGGGGTTGTCGATCAGAAGAGCCATCCAAGGACGGGTTGATCCGTGATATAGACGGCTCATGATGTGCCATGAGCACGCAGCAGCGATTACTAGACATGCGTCAGTTACAGTGAGATTGAAGATAGGTTCACGTATGTAGGAATGCATTGCGCAATCTTAGTGCGACTTTCTTAGCAAGCTTCGTGTCTGAGTGCGACCTCAGGTACCCATATTGAGAGGGAGCACGTGGAAGCACAGTGCCCCATGGAATTAGGAGTCCAGCTCCCAAAAGCTCCTGGCACCAGAGCAACTTCTGCTCTAGTTCGCGCCATTTTTCTCTAATGTCGCGATGGAGAAGGTGCTTCCCCTGGCTGTCGACCTCCGTGTAAAGGGAAAACATTGAGTGGTTTAGACACTCAAATATGGGACCGTCGAAGCTAGGATTCAAGGGAATGAGAGGAAACCATGGACGAGCTGCATACACCCAGCGAGTAGTGAGGGGTGAAGTGCTGTCGTCCGGAGATGTGTCATGATCGTCCCGGGGGTCCCAGACTGGCTCGTGAGGAATGTCGTCGGGAAGGGAAGATGCGTTGAGGGAGGTGTAGATCTTCCCCTCACGCACAAAGATGTTGAGTTGGCTGGGCATGGCGTTGATTGTAGACAGTATCACAGAGGTACAAACCAATGTGTTGAGAGCGAGGAAGAGTAAGCACTATCACAGAGGTACAAACCAATGTGTTAGAAGGAGGAGTAGTAGGAGTAGGACTATCACAACGGTACAAACCGATGAGTTAGAGATGATGGAGAGAGAGAGGAAGGAGACCGACCGACCAAGCTTAAGTACCAGGCTTGACAATCAAATTGTGTAATCATTCCACAAAACCGCTGTGGCCACCAAATATCGAACTCCGGGGTAACAATAGACGGGACAAGTGGAGAGTCCACAAAGTGTTGTGTTGGTTTAGGAAATGACTACCACAACAGTACAAACTGCTGTGTTAGTTTGCAAGGGTAAGACGATACTACAACCGTACGAAACAGTTGTAGTAGCGGACTATAGGAAAGGAGTAACTTGAGACTTTGGCGAAATTTCAGATGCGCGACAAATAGTTACAAATACAATTATGTCATCATTGTAATTGACAATTACAATGATGACATAATTGTATTTGTAACTATTTGTCGCGCATCTGAAATTTCGCCAAAGTCTCAAGTTACTCCTTTCCTATAGTCCGCTACTACAACTGTTTCGTACAGTTGTAGTAGTATCGTCCCCTTAAGTTTCCGACCTTGGTGGTTTGTACCATTGAGTTCCTCGCCCCCCGATCTCTCCGAGCCCGATAGTTTGTACTATCGAGCTCATCCTAACATTGAGCACCCCGACCCCTCCCGCCTCATTTTAGGTGGGCGACTTAATCTCAAATCAGAATGCTGACGTAATATTATTTACAGTTGTTTGTCTCGCCATCTCAAATTTCGTCAAAGGTTCCAACTTCCAAGTTACTCCTTTACTATAGACTGCTACTACAACTGTTTCATACGGTTGTGGTAGTATTATCTTGCCCCTGATTTTTCGAGCTCAATGGTTTTGTACCGTCGAGATCATCATTCACAGATCTCTTCGAGTTCGATAGTTTGTACTATCAAGCTCACTCTCAATACACTCGTTCCAATGTCACTACTCTTTCGATGGATTCATAGCCATTTGGATGGGCAAGCTCTGCTTGCGTGTCCACCCAGTCAACTTGACGCCCGACGATGCGGAGACATGTTCAGATTTGGATAATCCTTAAGAATACCCTCCACTAGACCATACATAGGTGCACACGTGAACGACCAATTGGTCACCCACTTAAGGCAAGCCTGGGTAAAGAATGATATGGCCAAGCGATCGATGTACACTTGGCTCTTCGTTTGTACTGTTGAGCTCATCGTCCATGGCCCGGGGAAGGGGTCATATATACACTGCGTAAGTATCACCCAGCACATCCATTAACTCACTGCTGAAGGGGTTATACACCGCATAGGTTTCACCCAGCGCAATTCGACAACTGCCTCGTAGGACACCATATCTGTTTCCCTGCTCGTCTCGACTCCTCCACCGTACATACAGCGGAGGGGCATAGCAACACAAAATTCTCTCATTAGTGAGTACATTACTATCTGCACATTGCAAAAACATGACATCTTCCCCAGAATCTCGTCTACGCAACCGCGACTTTCATCCACCTGAATTCCTTCTCCGAGATCGTCAATCTCTCGACTTGACGCTTGGTCAGACCAGCGAGCCATCCTTCGTTATACAAAACTTTAGGCAACCCATCGACTTGTGCCCTGGAAGTCGTCGGATTCCCGGCTGCGCGTATCCGCTTCATTGGTTTTGAGCCTTGAGGGGCGAAGATATTGTCGTCCATAAGTCTTTGGTGATCGACGATGTCCATCTCCCGCTCTACCGCTCAGCGCCATGTCATATTTTTGACACGAAGAACGGTTTCAATGTCGTTTTCTACATCGCTTTCCTCCGAACTCATACCACCTTCTCCCAACGTCCTGATCAGACGTTGAAGCCACCGCCAGGCTGGGAGGTCTTCTTCGTTTTTGTCGGCCGTTTGTTTGACGAGATTGTCGACAACCGCTTCCCTACGATGATATTTCTGCGAAGTCTTCAGTACTAAAATTATCTGGAGATTGCGGGCATACATTCCTCCGATGCATCGTTTGACGAGTCACTTTCAGTGTTTCGTCCTTCTTCGTAATCAACCTTTTCTCCACCTCTATGGGGGTCTCCAGTATACCCTTCGCTGTGACCTTGGGCTGCGTGGCCGTCCAGATCGTACGCAAGCGCTTGTAACGGTCTTGAAGGATTTCCCTGAAATACGCCTCTGACCTCTGGAATGGCCACTTCTCTTCATTGCACCTTTTCTGTATTTCTTCGAGGAGTACATCAATAATCTTGCTATTCCAGGGGGTTTTGGATCCATTTTTTAGATCAAAGGTAAGATTTTTTAGATCGGGACCTGGACCATCTTCGTATTCATATGAGTAGACATCCTCGCGACTCGCTGCCTCATGGACTATGAAATCGGTATCCTGAGTGATCTTGAAAACATCTTTCAACAAACGCCGCACTTCTCCCTACTTCAATGTAAGGGGAATAAAACTCGATACTATGTTGCGGCTTACCAGAAGAAAATCTCTTTCGCAGCTCAGTTCGGCAGCCTTCTCTCACCAAATTTCTTCATCCTCTATCTTTTTCTTCTGGGGACTGCGTTTTTTGACGAGCGGGAAGTCTTTCTCGATGAGAATGCGCCTCAGTGTGGCCTCCACACCTCTTGCAATCGCATCTTCCATAGGTGAAGCGTCATGTTGTTGACGTGGTGCATCTTTCTCGAATGATTGTTCTTGATGGATTTCCTGCATGTCCGCCTAGTATCATGAGTTTACATCATATCCAACAATATACCAGACACTCACCTCCGCAGGTACTGATAAAAGGCGAGTCCTGCGTGATATTCCACGAATTCTCTTTAACTTCTTGATGGTATCAAGGCATGGGGTACCTGACGATGGCTTTGCGGATGGACGGGGGCTGTCATCCATTTCTGTATCCCTATCCGGTAATCTGTAACTCCTGGAAAACCGCTGTTCCATGTTGGCCAGCTCGCTTTCTTTTTCCGCCTGGGGCATTTTCAGCATACTCATCAGCCATGAATCAATATCCTCACCCTCAACTTATCGACTTCGGACTTCAGCCTCTGCTCCATCTCGCCGAATCTCACTTGCTCGCGTTCTAGAAACTACGTGGTTGTCATTGACCACCTTTCATGACAAGTTATTCACCTTACCTCTTCCTCTTTCTTTCTATTGAACTCTTCTTCACGCTGAGCTAGTTCTTGCTCAAAGTGTTTGCGACTATCCTCTAGAATTTTCTGCACGCTAGTTTCTACCGCCTCGCGATTTGCGTGGCCGACCGCTTCACGACTTCTCATATAATCTTCAAGCTGTTGGTGCTGCTCGGCGCGGCTAGCCTTGTCACTGTCATCAACGGGTGTCTGTCGTTCGAGCGTCCAAATGATTTACCTCGAATTCTTTGGTGAGTTGCACTTCCCGCTCTCTCAGAGCTACTTCCCACTGTTTTCTGATATCTTCCATGCTGGACAAATGTGCTTGTTGTAGGTTTTGAGCTTCCTACACGGCCGTGAGCCAGATATCCGTAATGTCTAGTGAGCTTACTACGAACCATTTGCATCTCACGTCTCATGTGGTTGATCTGTTCCGTTTGACTGTACACCATTTTGCGCAGTTCCACCGAGTAATCTACTTCCTTGATACGACACTTATCTGATACCTGGACAGACACTGAGCTCGACATTAACCTTATACACCCGGATGTACCGTCTTGAACCTTTTCTCCTTATCGAAACTAGTTGGGGGCTGTCCGGTGGCATCATCTAGGTCCATCCATGATGCCTCCCTCTTGTCTATCTGAGTCGTCCTTGCTAGACTGAAGTCTATATGATTTGCGGTTTGAAACGCGGCAGCATCTTCCATATCGTCTTCCATGTCGTCATCATCAAACAAGTTCGCATCATAGGATGTTTGGATGTCTTCCTGCTCCAGCCGTGGCATGTTAATAGGGTTGAGTAAGAAGAGTGTAGCGTCAACGTTAGTTTCTGGGCTCCATACACGTTATCCCACTTATATGCAACCCTAACAATTAAATCGTGATATCATCGCATCCGCTTTTTGGGTGTTCTGTATTGTGAACGATGTTGCACGATTCTCACTTTTGAGGCTAGGCTGCGGATGTTCGGGGGCAATAGTGCCATTTTTTTACAAACAAAAAAGTCAGTTTACAAAGTCTTAAGTCTGAGATCAGGTGGGCTTACGATACTCTGCTAGATTATTGTCCGTGGTTGCTTCATTCCATGAAACAAATAAAGATGACGAATTCAGCTTGCAGAATACTCCGTGCGGAGCGTGCTTTGGGGTTAGTAAAATACTATAAGATCGCCCACTCTCATCGCCCACTCTCATCGCCCACTCTCACCTCCCCAGTTATCTTCAGCGCTGGTCACCTACAGCTAATTTCATTGGTCATTCCTTTATCTTTATCACAATGGTCAACACTCGCACGTATATCTTACCCACATCGTCGGCAAGTTATCTTAAATTTCTCCTGGTCTTTCGCTTACAGCTTAATCAGACTCTTGAATTCCATGTGCGGTGTAGGCTATATTCTGCATCGTGGAGCAGACCTCGCCAGGTTACCATGCTTACACGATGTTCTGATCGCTCGTGCAATGCGAAGCGCTTTCCCGTTCCCGAGAGCCTCTTAAATGACGCTACTGTACAACCTTACGTACACAACTGTCTTGTCACCCTTCATGAAGGGAGACGCATCTGTCAGTTCTGTATTTTTTTCAAGTGGCATTGTCATCTGAGAATCAACACCCTTCTCAGCAGCGATGGCAATGTATTCCGAGGTGATGCAGCTATTACTAGGGTTGGCACAAGCGCCGGCTCTGTTGTAAACATGCGGGGAAGGGACAATGCGCTAGCCGACTTTATCATGCACAAGTGAGCAGTACCCAGTGATAATCAATCCCTGCTGATTTAGAATCTATCAGCTTTATACGAAGCATTCGATATCATGGAAAACTACCACGCACTCTCACGCTCATGAAGCCCTTGAGCACTCGCGTTAATCATCGGCTGGCTGACAGGTTCATAGTTTGATGCTAGTAGACTGGCAGTTGATAATGTTGAATAAATTTGTGGAGTCAATAAATTGTGTAAGATGAATTTCTTGAGTCACCAAATTGAGTACCGAATATCGCTACAAGCCCAAGGTTGACTAGTCACGACAATACAAATCATCGCGCCCCAGAAGTTGAATTGTGACGGTATACAGTATAGATTCAGATTTAGTCACTAAATTAAGTACCGAATATCGCTACAAGTCCAAGGTTGACTAGTCACGACAATACAAATCGTCGTGCCTCAGAAGTTGAATTGTGATCCGAGATGCAATGGGAGGATTCGGATCTGGAATTGTCAGAACTCTATTTATATAACCCGTATTACGGCCGTACAGATAGATAGGACATAATATGAGCTCGTGGTAACCAAATAAGGAAATAATTTGAGTTGGTCGCAAACACCTGTCAATTGACACTTAAAAAACTTAAATGACTCCTAATATATTGCGCACTTTCTTTCTGTCGACTCCCACACCCACCATCACTCAGCGGTTTTGTACAGCTGGAGGATGGTGTCTTAGGCGATGTCACTTTACGTCACTTTACGACTATTCACCGAGCAGTTTGTACTGCTGGGATGCTACCTTTCCTGCCGTTTGTACCGGGACGACACTACTTTCTCCCTCACTGCTTCACCAAGCCGTTTGTACTGCTGGGACGACGCTACCTTTCCCTCTCACTGCATCACCAAGCCGTTTGTACTGCTGGGATGCTACCTTTCTCCCTCACTGCTTCACCAAGCCGTTTGTACTGCTAGGATGACACTACCTTTCTCCCTCACTGCTTCACCAAGCCGTTTGTACTGCTGGGATGACGCTACCTTTCCCTCTCACTGCATCACCAAGCCGTTTGTACTGCTGGGATGCTACCTTTCCTGCCGTTTGTACTGGGACGACGCTACTTTCTCCCTCACTGCTTCACCAAGCCGTTTGTACTGCTAGGACGACGCTACTTTCTCCCTCACTGCTTCACCAAGCCGTTTGTACTGCTGGGATGCTATCTTTTGTCTTCACTGCACAATAACAATGGCATCTTGCATTACTGAGACACTATCTCATTGCATCTTTTACGGACCCATCAAAATACCTTTGTCGACGTAGCCAGCGACAAATCTGTCGCGCACAGTTTATTTGACCGTCATGATGCACGTAAATGTAAACTAAGTAAATCGTTACAAGCTCACTTCAACTTTAATTCGCTTCGACGGAGCGGGAGTAACATCATTCTTCCCCTCCTTCCCATCACCCAACCTCTTGGCCTTCTTCGACAACTCATCAGAGTCCTCTTCGTCCGGAAGCGCGTTGATGTGCTTGTCGAATAATGAGACCACTTCGTCAAACTCGACCTTCATCCTCTTCTCACTCATGAGGTCATACCACTCCTCTGCTAGAGGAACGAGCTTTTGGAAATAGGGGGCAAATTGTTCTCCGATGCACTGTTTCATCGAATCTCCAAGGAAAAAATAGTGCTTCGCTTCGGCTTTTTGAGTGACTTCTTCCGGCGTACCATGCCATCGCTCTGGTAGCCACATCTCCATTTTGTCAGGATCACGGTCCACGATGTCCTCAAGGCAGCGCTCTTCACCCATAGGTCCCTTGAACATTATGCCAATCCAGGCAAAAACGTAAAACATCGATTCAAGGTCGTCGTGGTATGTATGCTTGATTTTGGGCATCTTTTGGGGAGTTGAATGGTCCGTGGCTAGCTTAAGCTCTTTTACCGACTTCATACCCTGCGAGTATTGATAATTTAGCTTGCCCATTGCCCTAAGGGCGCTGACGGACATAAAGGGTATGGTTTCCTGAAAAATTAGTCATTCATTGCTCACCGAACAAATAAGGTGCCTACTGTTCCACCGGCAGAATACATATCGTCCGATGTGATGCGTGCCGCGAATTCCCAGTCTATTAGCGCCCCTCGACTGCCATATTCGGTGTCTTCTATCATGGAGTTATTTAGACTGCAGTCTCTGTGCAAAACCTGGTGCTCTTCAACTGCACGCTTTTGAACTGTGACGGTTCAATCAGATATGTACTAACTAATACGACAGGCTCACTTACTTAGCACAATATCATGTAACGCTTTGACGAGCTCTTTTCTAGTTCGAAACTCGTGTAAAGGACGAGCCCGTGGTTTCAAGACGAGACGGACATGCGTGCGATAGACACCTTGGGTGCTATTATAGATCTTCTGGCGATACATTTGCGTATCGTCGACTTTGCCCGGCTCTACCTCCACGAGACAGTGTTCCACGTATTGGGGAACACCAGGGATATCCTTCAGAGCTTTCAGCATCTCCACCTCATTCAACACTACACTCTTGTCGCCTTTCACCCAATGATCCTTAATAATAAACTCCTCGCCATCTCTCCGAGCCAGGTAGCAAACGGTTCTGCAGCCCACAAGTCCTTGATTGCAGAAGATCACCTTCAGCAAGTTGTATACGTTTTCATTGACGGCGATCTGTCCTATCACATTGTCAACCTCAGTGTCTGTATTCTTGAGATCTGGCGCATCAACAAGGGGAGTGGAGTCTGCCTCAGGCTCATTTGTGAACTCGTCGGGAGACAGAAGATGGTCGGGAAGCGAATGAAACTTTGTCTGTGTGTCCAGTGTGTGAGATTGTGTCAGCACTATCTGCGCATCTAGTGAAGATAGCTTGCGGGGCTTCAGGCGGGCGGCTCGACTCCTTCGCTTGGGAAGACCTTTGATGTTTCGGGCCCAAAATGCCCCGGACAACAAGCTCATCATCTTTGGGTTGATCGTGATCGTGAGGTCAAATCCAATGCAGTCACATCGACCAAAAACGATGCATGCCATGACGCGTTTGAAAGCATCAGGATTCTCATGTATATTGATTTCTGGGGTCACAATGCCGCCCGAATGGTCATGTACATGTACACGGAGTTCGTGATAATTATTGCTGAAGGAAAGAGATAGTACGAAACGCCTCCACGGTTGCTCTCTGAAAATGAGCCATGCCTTTGTGTCAAGCGTCTTTCCGGCAGGTATTGAAGGGGTGTACGAGGTTGTGGTGAGCTCAGCGACTACCAGTATAGTGTTCCAACGCAACTCTGTGTGCTCGGATAAGCAGACATCGGGTTTTCATTGAACATGCTCGCTTTCAATGGGCACGGTAGAACTCGAACCATACCATAGTGGAGGAAACGTGCCTAACGAAGGAAATGATCGGAGGAGGGCTTTGGTGAGGTTGTTGAGGAAGAATGGGAATGTCTTCTCGATGGCCTCACCCTTCCTGGGAAGCGCTAAGGGCCATTGTTTCGTGGTAGTGTCGTAGAGCGGCTTGTTGGTTGAATCTACGAGGGTATCTGTTGCGGGCAAGTTCACGGGGTCGAACGAATTGAAGATCAAAGGTAATAGATGTCCCATATCATTAGCATCTCCTTCGCAGCGGGTTTCTTGGGTGATCAGGCGATTGAGCTCACAGGATGTCAGTTTGTCCATGGAGGAGATGTCGGATTGGATGACACCCAGTGGGTGTAACGAAGCGATTTTTAGCCCGAGTTCAGACGAGAGAAAATGTTTTGACATGGCGGTTGCTGAAACGTCGCTGTTCTCAAAGCCGCCTAACAAGGCTACTGCTATCACAGGAAGATAATAGGAAGATAATATTAGCATATCCGAATGCAGCATGTTTGACCCAAACATATATTACTGTTTGGAAGATCACTTGTCTTGCATCCCAGTGTTTGAAATAAGGTAGTAAATGACTATGGAAGTACTGCAAGTACTGCAGGTGCACTAGAGAGTGAAGTAACGCGCAGTCACTGAGAGTACATATGTAATTGTCAATTTGAAAATTTCACACCATGTGACAAGCTTAGCACACATTCACTTGTCGGTCTTTCAATAACATGTGATATACCCACGGGATAATTAGACCAAGACAATTTGAAGCGTGTACTCTAACTAGTTCGGGCATTGTGATCACAAACATGGTAATGATAAGGGGATTCATCTAAGTTAAGTTACGGGTATAGTGAGAATGAATCAACTTTTCTGTAGATGTCATTGTATTAGCGTCGACTTTCAGAGTAGAATATACTGACCTTGGGAGTATGTTTCTTACTCTTTCCCATAACCATCCCTGCTTCTTTCTGCCTAGCACGACCTGATGTATATTTCAGGCGCATCATGATCATATCATTAACTGGCCAGAATTCGCTATAATTTTCTAGGTCGGGGAAAGCATCGACAGCCTAATAAACCATAAACCATGAGGTCATGGATAAATGAAGATCGAGTACTGACTTTGTCGTGGACAGTCTTCAGAAGGATAGGACTTTGGGAGGAGGCACACTTCGTCATATCGAGGTGCTCTTCGATGAGGTGGTGCATAGAATTCTAGAGGTGTCGATAAATAAAAGGCATACATCAGTGGAAGTGTGTTACTAACCTTAAACTTGGTGTATGCCTTTGGACTCCAATCCAAAGCCTCGCGGAGCATGTATCCTCCACGCCCAGGACGACCAGGCTCACCAGCAGGCTTTGGAATCTTCGAGTCTTCTGATAAACTTGCAGCCGAAGTTGACGAGTCACTGTCTGATAGCGAATCGAAGGAGCCTGATGAATCCGAGGGAATGGGTGTCCGAGAACGAGAACGAGAACGCTCGAGAGAGACTCTCTTCAGATATGGTGAGGAAGGATGGGTATTCTTGGATGGGCGTACCGCAAGCTTGAACTCAGGCGCCAGCGTGTTCTTGGGCTGCAAATGCTCTCAGTATGAGGAGCAAGACAAAAAAAATGATGCTAACCTTTGGCAGGAGAATCTCATCAGTAATGAGCATAGTCGAATGACAAGGGCTGCCAAAAAATTTGAGCTGGTCGGTAAGCATAGGCGGGAAGGGGGGTGGAGCACCAGGCTCTGGATCGTGAAAGGGAGAGACAGCTTTCGATGTGTTGCGCATGATCTGTAAGTCAATGTAAGGTGGATCAAGATGGCGATGTGAGCGGGTCAGGCTGGCCATGACAGAAACCCTTTGCTATGGAACAGGGCTTGGTTACATCGTGTTTTTGCGACGTAGCCCAGTAGATGTAAGGATGTCCTGTTCATCATCGAGTTCTCGCCTAATGTCGAACAGATGCTTTTTCAGGAGACTTGCACCAGGAGGCTCGGATCGGGCTTCGAGATTACATGTCTGTCATGGGATATGTCCTCTGAAGGGAGTACTCGGATTGCAGTCGGAACAAGGGACAAGATAGTTCAGGTACTTGTTCTAAACACGAACTCGCAACTGGAGGCCGTTTTCGCGGTGCGACTGGACAACACTGTGCCGAAGTCTGTAGCATTTGCAGACGATAAAGGCGTTTATGTGTTTGGACTATATGACGGCAACTTCATCAAGCTGAAGGGGGATGACGGCGCAGTAGTGAAGGAATACAGTTGCCAATCGGTGATGTGAGGATTCACCGCAAGCTGCCGAAGTATGACTGACGCTCTTCCTTCAGCGGACATGCGGCAATCAACCAGAAGAGGGGTGTGTTCTTGGTAGACAACGCAACCGACGGGTTTACATTGTACCGACTTCTCGGTGATGAGGAGCCAGTTCGAACTTTCATCACCGCTCCTCCCAGTGTATCAGTCCCAAAGCAGGTGGCATTCGGTGCCGAAGGGAGGTTGGTGGTAGGTGGGAGTGACAATGGTTTGGTATATATATTCGAGAGGAAAACGGGGAAGTTACTGGAGAGTCTTCATCACTCCAATGCCAGCCTGGTGCAGACAATAGCTGTAGGTGTTGACTTGATTCGGAGATGTGGTGCTGATTGTATTTCAGACACGTGATATTAACAGGCGCTGCATAGTCGCCAGTGCATCGCAAGCACTAAGGCATAAGGCTACAGTCAATTTATGGGTCTACGACTATGGCATGAAAAAGGAAACCATCACCTCGAAAGAATCCTGGTCTCTGTCGTGTGCACTAATGCGCATTTTCACAATCTTGATTCACGCAAGTGCCCTATTGGTGTTACAAGTAACATCAGCTACATGGCCCCCCTATCATTTTTCCCCTTCGTCCTCGCCCTCGTATGCCTCCGGCTCGTACTTCTCTACCGACTATCCGTTGACCGGATCCTCGGGACCGTTCCCGTCCCTCACCCCCCTCCTATCGCACCAACGTGCGCACGTGCCTTCGGGCTATGACTCATTCTGACTCGTGCCACCAATGTGGCTTTCCTTATCTTGTCTTATCTTTCCTCTGACTCATGCGTGCCGCGCATTGTATCATTTACTGTTGGCTTGTTCCAACGTTTCTCGGTCTCATTCTGCATTCGACCTCACATCACTAATCAGGCTCTGCTACCAGCGTACCTATACCCTTTCCGTTTCCCCTTTGCCCTTACCTACAGTATGGTAGCCTTGCCCTTAACCCTTTCCACTTAGTATAAGTAGTCGGTCACTCTGTACTAGATTCCCTAACTTGAATCTACTCAATCTTCCCTCGAACATACTTCCCTCTGAAGCCCCCTCAGCTTCAGTCTCTAGTATCTTTTTCTTAGGTGCTCATCGCGCCTAAGTCTACCTCGATCGACTACTCATCGTTCGGACAAGACTGTCCTTACTTTGAGAACGTCAGTGACTTTGAAGACATCCGTCTTAAGAAGTCATGTGACACGCGCGTCTCTGATATCTGCCGACTCGATGTCACCAGTCTCAGTCGCTACACCGGACCCTTCCAGTTACGTCACGAACGTTAGCGGACGACGCCCCTCTTAGGGCTCCGCATAACAGATCTATTTGAGTGCGTAACAAAAGATTCAAGTTTCCTTTTTGCGCCCTGCCATCCGCACGGCCCATTAACTGACAGACACCACGACTACCTGGATCCCGAAGTACCCTTGGGAACGTGATCCCAACACTCCGGACTCCGAAGAAGAAGAATCGGAAGAAGACCACACGTCCTCCGACGAGTTTCCCGACGAACAACCGTACGGCAACCTCAACTCGAACCCTGGAACAAGAATGTCCGGAGGCCCCACCCAACAACCGACAGTGGTCGTATCCAGGCCTGAACTAAAGGCTGGAGTACCACAGAACTATGATGGAAGCATCGATGATGCCGAGCGCTGGATGTACTCGGTGGAAACATACTTCCTCATCAACTCAACGATCTACAGCTCCGACCAAACCAAGGTCGCTGTTGCACTCCAGTACATGAACGATGGAGACACCCGCGTCTGGGCCGACACCTTCTACCGAGCAGCCTTCGACAAACCTACCGTCGACTTCGGTAGCTGGAAGGACTTCAAGAAGGCTTTCACCGAATCCTTCCACCCGATCGACCGAATGACTGAGGCTCTAACCAAGCTTCATGGTTTGACCCAAACTGGTGACGTGATGCCCTACATCGCAACGTTCAAGACCCTGTCGTCCACTGCTAGTCTCAAGCAGGACGTCGCCCTCATCCACTTCTTCGAACGAGGGTTGAAACCGGGACTTCGAACCGCCATCTACGGGAAGGAGGTCGTCCCCACCACCATCGATAAATGGTACACTGCCGCGACACAGTTGGAAGCCAACTACAAGCGATCAAGAGCAGTTGTATCCAACAACAGATCGGTACGCCCTTCCAGCCACCGGCACGTCCCCAAACCTCAGGTCCGCCAACGCGATCCTGATGCTATGGATGTTGATCGCTCCCTCACGCCTGAGGAACGACAGAAATGCTTCGATAAAGGCCTTTGCTTCAAATGTAAAGAGAAGGGCCATCGAGCAAACGACTCCCGGTTCCACCCGAAGGTGCGCTGAGGAGACAAGAACGACGAAGAAGACAAAGGCAAGAAGCCAAGCAAGTCTGGCGTCCGCCAGCTTGACGAGTCTTCTGACGAGGAAGACATGGAAGTCAACCTTGTCAAAAGAAAGGATTTTTAAAGAGAGGGCTTGTCGGACGGTCAATTCCCTCTATCTGCGCATTGTATACTAAAGCTGTTGGTAAATCCAACGAGTTTCGTGTCCCGGTGACACTTTTCTCTTCTTGCAGTGCCAAAACCGTTCAGTCGACCGCAATCATCGACTCAGGGGCAGGTGGGACTTTCATTAGCTATGACTTCGTCAAGCGAAATGGGATCCAGACCCACCTACTCAAGAAACCCTTCCGGATCACCACAGTAGACGGAAGCCCATCCTCGGCAGGACAGGTAACCCAATACTGCATGCTATTCATTCGTCTCGATCGGAGACTTATGTATGGAAAGTTCAACATAACGAAACTTTCCAAGCATGATGATCTACTTTTTGGAAAACCTTGGCTTAGTGCCATGATGCCCAATATCGACTGGAAGGCCAACACGATCTCCCTGCCTGCGACCAATAGGTCAAAGGAGGTGGAGAGGGAACTCAACGCCTCCCGGCGAGAAAGTAAGGCCAAGCCATATCTCTTTCGTGGAGAAAAAGCTGTCCTAGAAGAACTCGACGACGGGGACTTTTCGCCCCTCAAGCGACTCCCCGAAGGCACTCAACATTGCCTCGAAGAAATCAAGAAATGCAAGAAGCGTAACAAGAAGAAGACGGCGCCAATCATCGTGCCCTTTGAAGACACCGACTTCAACACCATGGACGATGTCTGGGTCGGACAGACCCATCTCGCGGATAAAGTTGAGGAGATCTCCACTTATCCCCTCACTGACGATGAAGTTCTAGTGGAATATGCTTCGGACGGAACATCCGTCCGGATCATCGAGAACATCTCCTTCGACACTCCGCTCACTAAGGATGGGACCTCGAAGAAAGAAATCCGGAAGGCCCTCAACAGACGAGCAAAACCTCTCCAGAACCTCTGGATCCTCGCTTCTCAGCAGGACTACACGAAGACCTCCAACAAAGCTCAAGAATTTGCTATGGAGGACGCACAGGAGAAGAAGAAGAAATCATTTGAAGAACTGGTACCTTCCTATCTTCATGATTTTGCTGACATCTTTGCAAAGGATGGTCTGAACAAACTCCCTCCCTCACAGCCGGGAGTAGACCACAAGATCGAAATGAAGGAAGGCTTCATTCCGAAGTCTTCTCGAGCCTACCCGCTCTCACCGAAGGAAACCGACGCTGTCAAAGCATTTTTGGACGAACACCTCGCCAAAGATTTCATCCAACCCTCGAAGTCTCCTCAAGCTGCTGGATTCTTCTTTGTCGGCAAGAAGGACGGGTCTCTCCGCCCCTGCCAGGACTACCGATACATCAACGAATGGACGATCAAGAACGCATACCCACTCCCTTTGATACCACCCTTGCTTGCAAAACTCAACAAGGCACAATGGTTCACAAAGGTCGACGTACGCTCAGGATACAACAATATCCTCATTCATCCTGACGACAGGTGGAAAGCCGCGTTCTCCACCTCATACGGGCTCTTTGAGCCCAAGGTAATGTTTTTTGGGTTGTGCAATTCACCCGCCACCTTCCAAGCTTACATGAACCAGACGTTTTCAGAAGAACTGAACGAAGGATGGTTAATCGTCTATATGGACGACATCCTGATCTTTTCAGATAACCTGGACGAACACCGGCAGAGGACCCGCCAAGTATTGGAGAAACTCTGCAAAGAGTCTCTCTTCCTCAAACCCGAGAAATGTACTTTCGACACTCAAGAAGTCGAGTACCTCGGTATGATCATTCGACCCGGACAGGTCGCTATGGACACTGCCAAGCTGAAAGGCATCAGCGAATGGCAACAACCCTCTTCGGTCAAGGACGTGCGGTCCTTCCTCGGATTCTGCAACTTCTACCGCCATTTCATTCCCCACTACTCCGACATCGCACGCCCTCTCCTAGACCTAACCAAGAAGGAGATCCCCTTCTCTTGGTCCGACTCCACCGAAGCTTCATTCCAGCATCTAAAGAAGCTTTTCACCACCGAACCGGTTCTGCGGAACCCCGACTCCTCGCGACAATTTGCACTTGCAACTGACGCCTCGCTCTTCGCGACCGGAGCAGTCCTACTCCAGACAGATAGCAATGGGGATTACCACCCCTGCGGCTATCTCTCCCAGTCCCTCAACGCGGCCGAACGGAACTACGAGATCTACGACCGGGAACTCCTTGCCATCATCCGAGCCCTTCAGGCTTGGAGGCACTTCCTCGAAGGAAATCCTCACCCGGTCATTGTCTTCACAGATCACAAGAACCTGATCTATTTCCGCTCCGCACAACGACTCACCCGACGACAGGCCCGGTGGCATCTCACGCTCACCAACTTTGATCTGGAACTTCACCACGTTCCCGGAACAAAGCTCGCTGCACCGGATGCCTTATCCCGACGTCCGGACCACGCTATAGCTGGTCAGGATAATGAGGATCGTATCCTCCTCCCCGACACCCTGTTCACCCGTCTAATTGACGCTGAACTCGCAGACGAGTTCCAACGACTCTCTGACAACCCCTCCGACCAGACTGTGAAAACAGCCTTGGACGCTCTCTCCGGGGTGTGCGCACCCCCCATGAAGTCTGCACTTTCTGATTGGAGGTTCACCGATGGTGTTCTCTTCTATAAGGATCGTGCCTATGTTCCCCCTGACCTCCGGCATCGCGTGTTGTCTCTACATCACGATCACCCAACCACCGGGCACCCTGGGTGTTCCGGTACCGAATGGAACATCAAGAAATCCTACTGGTGGCCCGGAATGGGCTCCTTCATTAGGAAATATGTCGATGGCTGCGCCATGTGCCAGCAGATGAAGGTTAACACCCACCCCACAACACCTCCCCTCACCCCGATACCCTCCTTGGCCCTCCGGCCCTTCGCTCAGGTTTCGGTTGATTTAATCACCGACCTCCCCGAGAGCGCCGGCTACAATTCTGTCATGGTCGTGGTAGACCATGGGCTTACGAAGGGGGTAATTCTCTGCCCTTGCAGAAAAACCATCACAGCGGAAGGAGTAGCCGAACTTTTCTTCAAGAAAGTGTTCATGCGCTTCGGACTCTATGACAAGATCATCTCGGACCGAGGCCCCCAATTCGCCTCGAAGCTAGCAAAGGAGCTAGGACGACTCCTCAACTACCAAGTCGCACTTTCCACTGCCTACCACCCTCAGACAGATGGCCAGACCGAACGGCTCAACCAAGAGCTCGAAACCTACCTCCGGATCTACTGCCGGACGACTCCCTCTGAATGGGCAAAGCACTTGCCTATGGCCGAATTCGTTCATAACTCCCGACAACACTCTGCCAGAAATGCCTCTCCCTTCTACCTCATGATGGGCTACGAACCACGAGGCATCCCCCATCTCTTCCCCAACTCTACCCTACCAACCGCCGAAGACCGGGTCAAGTCACTCGCCAAGATCCGTGAAGAAGCCCTTGCATGCCACAGCCTCGCGCAGCAACGCATGGCTGATCATTCCTATGGCCAGCGTTACAAGCCATGGAACGTTGGTGATAAGGTATGGCTATCCGCCACGAACCTAATCACCGGATTCCCTTCTAGGAAACTTGCCCCGAAACGATATGGACCCTTCCCAATCCAGAAGGTCCTCTCCCCCATCACGTTCCAGCTAAAGCTGCCTGCCAGCTGGCGTATCCACCCCACGTTCCATGCCTCGGAACTTTCCTCCTATCAGGAGACAGACGTGCATGGACCGAATTTCACCGAACCTCCTCCTGATCTTATCGATGGGGAGGAACACTACGAAGTGGAAGCTATCCTCCAACACAAGGGTACCGGATCGCGTCGCCGGTACCTCGTGTCTTGGGTTGGCTATCCTGCCTCCGAACGAACGTGGCTCCCCGAAACAGAATTGAAGTCCGCAGCGGAGCTCCTGAAGGCGTATAAGAAGCGACTCAAGATTGCTTCAATCGCCATCTCATGTTGATCAACAAACACCACTGCAACTTCTCCTACCGCCCTCACTACACTAGGGCTGACCCCACCGATGAACCCATCCACACCGACACCAAAACCTTCCATCGCCAACGAATCCGCAATCGCCACCGCCCCACAAAACCCAAACCCATCGACAAACAGCGACCCATTACCCAATACCCCACCTACGCCACTACCCAAGGAAAGACGCTTCACTATGTCAGTCTCAGCGTCATCTGTTTCCTCGCACCGATCCGCTACCTCTCATGCGTCTGCCTCCGACCGCGACCTGACGAGCCAGCCAACGCTTGGCCATGATGGGCCCTCCCCCCCGGGATATACCATCTTCCGACGACCATCCCTTTGCTCAGTTGTCCAAGATAGGCAACGGGCCTACTGGGAAGCAGTCATCTGCGACCCCCAGTATGCACTTCAGCTCGACAACTATCTCAACCGCACCAACGACGACATCACCATGAACCTCGTCCAGGCCTTTAGGGCCACCGACGCCCTCACCGGCGACATCGCTAGGATTGACTTGGCTAGGGAAACTTCCCTATCCACCGTCTCGACCAGATATAACCAAGGCAAGATCAAGCGAGCCTTGCTAAATCTATTCGAACTCAGGAACTTCCATGCCGCTGTCATGGCCGTCGAGGAGGAGCGGGCATTTAATCCCCCTCCCGACCCGCTTGCAGTCGTCGAGCGTGCTGTCTATGACAGAGCTCCGACCCCTTTCCTTCCCCAGCTACCCCACTCTGAATCACCAGAGCAGATCCCCAACGTCACCCAGTTGACCAACCCCGAGATTGACCGTCTCTACAATGAATATGAACGCAAGCTCTACGCTCCATGTAACCCCTCCCCCATCCTCGATGCCGACACCATCTCTATCATCATCCCAGAGTTGGATGAATGCCCTCCCGAACCACCTGTTCTCAACCCTGACGATTGGGTACCTACTGAAGTGGTCCCACACCTCTCCATTGGTTCTCCGGAACCTCTTCCCACTCCACAACGCCGAAATCACCGTGCTCGTGCACGATCCATCCTGTCTCTAGGACTACCCCTCTCCCATGCGCATCGCCTGCGCACCCAGAACTTCACTAGGCACTATCCTCGTGAGGAAGCCCAGGAAGACGCCATCAACGATGCCCGTCGTGATGCCACCGAAACCACCCAGGTCTACCGCAGCAACGTCGTCTGCCGCCAGTGCCGTGTCTTTGGACACAAACAGAAACACTGCGCGCAATACTTCTGCCGCATTTGTGGGCAATTTGCCCCAAAACATCTCACTCCCTTCTGCCCTCGACTCGATGGCAGAAAGATCCTTCGCCGTGGAACCTCTTTCGACCGGTTCTACAGGGACATGCAGCAGCTCGAAGCTGCGTATGACCAGGACGCTGCTCGCCTTGAGCAAGAACGCGAAGAGAATGCAATTGAAGCCACCTCCTGGCTCGAAGACCTCAACTTCGACCCCGAGTGGTATAACAACCAGGACGACTACGTTCCCTTGGACGACAATTAAAGAGTTCGTGGAACTCTACCTTGAAACGGGGGTAATGTTACAAGTAACGTCGGCTACATGGCCCCCCTATCATTTTTCCCCTTCGTCCTCGCCCTCGTATGCCTCCGGCTCGTACTTCTCTACCGACTATCCATTGACCGGATCCTCAGGACCGTTCCCGTCCCTCACCCCCCTCCTATCGCACCAACGTGCGCACGTGCCTTCGGGCTATGACTCGTTCTGACTCGTGCCACCAATGTGGCTTTCCTTATCTTGTCTTATCTTTCCTCTGACTCATGCGTGCCGCGCATTGTATCATTTACCGTTGGCTTGTTCCAACGTTTCTCGGTCTCATTCTGCATTCGACCTCACATCACTAATCAGGCTCTGCTACCAGCGTACCTATACCCTTTCCGTTTCCCCTTTGCCCTTACCTACAGTATGGTAGCCTTGCCCTTAACCCTTTCCACTTAGTATAAGTAGTCGGTCACTCTGTACTAGATTCCCTAACTTGAATCTACTCAATCTTCCCTCGAACATACTTCCCTCTGAAGCCCCCTCAGCTTCAGTCTCTAGTATCTTTTTCTTAGGTGCTCATCGCGCCTAAGTCTACCTCGATCGACTACTCATCGTTCGGACAAGACTGTCCTTACTTTGAGAACGTCAGTGACTTTGAAGACATCCGTCTTAAGAAGTCATGTGACACGCGCGTCTCTGATATCTGCCGACTCGATGTCGCCAGTCTCAGTCGCTACACTGGACCCTTCCGGTTACGTCACGAACATTAGCGGACGACGCCCCTCTTAGGGCTCCGCATAACAGATCTATTTGAGTGCGTAACAATTGGTGACCTTATGTTTCTTGATGAACTATGTGAACTATGTTAGTCATCATTAACTTGGCAATATAATTCACTAACTTATGTCTCCAGGACACGATGGCGCTGTCAGCAGACCTTGGCCAGCGCATGAGACATACACGGGTGTTCTTCGCTAATAATCTTGAAGCGAGTGTGCGCGAAGCGGTGTTGGACAAAGTACCGCATGCACAAGAAAAAAACCACGAAAAGAGCGATATCCTGATGCTGCGCGAATTGGCAGAAAGGCTTATGGAGGCCATTCGAGAGGCGGAAGGAGATGTAGGTGAAGAAAGCGCCATTGGTGAAAAAGACGAGATCGCTGCTGAAGCCGAGAGGGTATTTTATGAGGCGCTGAGGGTACGACGGGTTGATACTAGGGAAGATAGTTCAGGGGGGAAAGATGTTATTCTCATATAATGATAGATATACTGTTAACTTACGAAAAAAATTGTGTTGCTATGCCCCTCCACTGTATGTACGGTGGAGTCGAGAAGAGCAGGGAAACAGAGATGGTGTTTGATATGGTGTCCTACGAGGCAGTTGTCAAATTGCGCTGGGTGAAACCTATGCGGTGTATAACCCCTTCAGCAGTGAGTTAATGGGTGTGCTGGGTGATACTTACGCAGTGTATATATGACCCCTTCCCCGGGCCATGGACGATGAGCTCAACAGTACAAATGAAGAGCCAAGTGTACATCGATCGCTTGGCCATATCGTTCTTTACCCAGGCTTGCCTTAAGTGGGTGACCAATTGGTCGTTCACGTGTGCACCTACGTATGGTCTAGCGGAGGGTATTCTTAAGGATTATCCAAATCTGAACATGTCTCCGCATCGTCGGGCGTCAAGTTGACTGGGTGGACATGCAAGCAGAGCTCGCCCATCCAAATGGCTATGAATCCATCGAAAGAGTAGTGACGTTGGAACGAGTGTATTGAGAGTGAGCTTGATAGTACAAACTATCGAACTCGAAGAGATCTGTGAATGATGATCTCGACGGTACAAAACCATCGAGCTCGAAAAATCAGGGGTAAGATAATACTACCACAACCGTACGAAACAGTTGTAGTAGCAGTAAGGAGTAACTTGGGAACTTTGGCGAAATGTGAGATGGCGAGACAAACAGCTGCAAATAATATTACATCAGCATTCTGATCTGAGATTAAGTCGCCCACCTAAAATGAGGCGGGAGGGGTCGGGGCGCTCAATGTTAGGATGAGCTCGATAGTACAAACTATCGGGCTCGGAGAGATTGGGGGGCGAGGAACTTGATGGTACAAACCACCAAGGTCGGAAACTCAAGGGGACGATACTACCACAACCATACGAAACAGTTGTAGTAGCAGTCTATAGTAAAGGAGTAACTTGAGACTTTGCCGAAATTTCAGATTGGTGCGACAAATAGTTACAAATACAATTATGTCATCATTGTAATTGGTTTGGTTGTGACAATGATGACATAATTGTATTTGTAACTATTTGTCGCACCAATCTGAAATTTCGGCAAAGTCTCAAGTTACTCCTTTACTATAGACTGCTACTACAACTGTTTCGTATGGTTGTGGTAGTATCGTCCCCTTGAGTTTCCGACCTTGGTGGTTTGTACCATCAAGTTCCTCGCCCCCCAATCTCTCCGAGCCCGATAGTTTGTACTATCGAGCTCATCCTAACATTGAGCGCCCCGACCCCTCCCGCCTCATTTTAGGTGGGCGACTTAATCTCAGATCAGAATGCTGATGTAATATTATTTGCAGCTGTTTGTCTCGCCATCTCACATTTCGCCAAAGTTCCCAAGTTACTCCTTACTGCTACTACAACTGTTTCGTACGGTTGTGGTAGTATTATCTTACCCCTGATTTTTCGAGCTCGATGGTTTTGTACCGTCGAGATCATCATTCACAGATCTCTTCGAGTTCGATAGTTTGTACTATCAAGCTCACTCTCAATACACTCGTTCCAACGTCACTACTCTTTCGATGGATTCATAGCCATTTGGATGGGCGAGCTCTGCTTGCATGTCCACCCAGTCAACTTGACGCCCGACGATGCGGAGACATGTTCAGATTTGGATAATCCTTAAGAATACCCTCCGCTAGACCATACGTAGGTGCACACGTGAACGACCAATTGGTCACCCACTTAAGGCAAGCCTGGGTAAAGAACGATATGGCCAAGCGATCGATGTACACTTGGCTCTTCATTTGTACTGTTGAGCTCATGTTCTCTTATACTTTCGTCACTCTGAGCCCGATAGTTTGTACTGTTGAGCTTACCGTTCCTCGTCGACATTTGCGAACATGGAATTTTCCCGACGATACGACCGGATTGCGTGACCACTCGGGCACTTGGAATTCCGTTGCACTTGTCTCATCAGATCTATATTACGGTATGTATTGTTCCATCGTCCCTTGTCATGCATCCGAATAGTGTCCATATAGGCAATCACCTTGTACTTCATCGTTGGCATTTGTCTCTGATGCCTTGTTTGTGAGTTGCTCCATTCTTTCCTTGTTTTTTTTTTCATTTAAGTCCCGCTATGCCAGGATCTACTTCCAATCACCCAATTACCAACCTCCCTCAATTCTCCATGCCCGTAGCCCGTGCAACACTCAAACGATGCCTTTGCGAGGAGTGCATTGAGAAAGGCGGATATGACGAGAAAGGCGCACCAACAGGAGTGCTCATGGCTGAACACTTAATTGTGTCTCATATCTTGCGTGTAAAAGCGGAACGCGCCGCAGGTAACAGTGTGATTATTGACGTAGATTTTTCTGCCACTGACCTTGCCGCATGCACCTTCGCAGACAACACGTCATCAGTCGCCGTCATCGCCGATGATCTTCGTCGCTTGACCCTTGATACGGATGTACCGGTCAATATTTCTCCGAGCTCAAACCTGACACAGTACCTGTCTCGAAAAAGGGATGCAATCGACGCACCGTGAAGGCATCGGTTGTCCTTGACAACATCGAGTCTCGGATCCAGCAATGCTTTCACTTGTTGCTGCATTCTTGTCGCATTGATCACATTGGTCGCGAACTACATTTACTTCGTAAAGCCATGCAAAACGTCATTCGGCAGACCGATATTGTGATTGCACGAAAGAAGGCGATCGAATCGCAGATAGACATATTGGCAACCCAGTGCAGCAGTCACGAGCCATCCGATGATACACCCGTCGAGATCAATACCGGTAAGTGAGCGTGCGGATCATCATGACAGTTCTTTGCTTATCGTTCAGTAGATACCCTTCCGCAAGATCCAGTGAACGAGTTAGATGAAATCACTCAAATCGTTCTCTTCCTTGGCATCGCATGCAGAGTTATCATAGGGGTCAGCAGGAGTAGTTGTGATCTAATCATGAAGATCATTTCCATCATACTATTTCTCGCATTCCGGAGACCAGATAACAGCCTCAACTCCTCCCAGACAAATATCCTAAAGCAGATCCCAATGACCTCAGAAAGCGCCGAGGCCAGATTCCATCTCAAGGGAAAGATTGTCCCGTATGCTGTCTGCAGTTGCCATTGCACCTATCCACCAACTTATGCACCAGGCTCGACGACTCCAGTATATCCTGAACGGTGCACTCATCGTCCCATGCTCACGACCGAATGTGGCGAGGCTTTGCTTGTTGGTGCTGATGGAAATTTCCGACCCAGGAGGACCTTCATGTACCACGATTTCAAGGATTATCTGTTCGGTCTTCTCTCTCGTAGAGATATCGAGGCCGTGATGGATCAGGCATGCAACAATCTGATGGACTCCATCGATTCCCCCCATCCGTCCTTCATCAAAACCCCCTTTGAAGCTCAATTTCTCCGCCAGTTCGATGGTCCTCAGCCGGGTTCACTTTTTGTTGATAGAGGAGAGGAGGGACGCTATGTCTTCGCTCTCCATGTGGATTTTTTCAATCCGGAAGGTCTGAATATCCACGGCGCCAGTACATCATGCGGAATCATCTCTATGGCATGCTTAAATTTACCGGTGGATATCAGATACAAGCCGGAGAATATGTATGTTGCGGGTATCATCCCAGGTCCGAAGCAGCCGTCACTGGAGAACCTCAACCACTACATCCGACCCCTCATCAATGATTTGGTAGATGCATGGCAGCGTGGTATCAAGTTCTCCAAAACGGCTTGTTACCCCCATGGCCGGCTTACTCGTAGCGCCGTCGCCCCTGTTGTCTGTGACCTCCCCGCCGCTCGTCATATTGCTTCTATGGCTGGAGTTGGCAGTCACTTCTATTGCAGTGCGTGCAATTGTTATCATAAGTCTACCTGTGGAAGAGTCGACTTCGAGAAGTGGGAACCTCGCAACAAAGTAACATTGCGAGAATATGCTGAGCAGTGGAGAGATGCTGCTACATCCTCTGAACGTGAAAGACTGTTCAAGGCTCATGGCATGCGCTATTCCGAACTCTGGCGCTTACCATACTGGGACCCCTCCCGGCAACTTGTCATTGATCCGATGCACTGCATATTGGAAGGCTTGGCCCAACACCACACCCAACATCTTCTCGGTTTAACCTCAGAGTCGACCACATCGACATCGCCCTCCCCGGCATTTGCGTGTGACTTTGGCGAAATACCTCCCGGGACAATGACAGCCAAAGAGGTAACACAGATATCCGCGATTCGCACCCTCCTCGCATCTCACGTAGGTTCTGGCGACGATAATCAACTGGAGGAACGCTTTGACAAGCTAAAAAGCACTCTGTCTCATAAAAATTCCGGACCGTTGAGATTTGCCTGCAATTCTTTACATTGTATGCCCCAGAAAGTTGGCAGAACACTGAAGATTGACTACGTCAAGGCTCTTGTTGATTGGGTAAGCTCTTCGCTGTGATGTTTCTTGCCGTCAATTTCTCTAACACGCACTTCACAGCGTCGCGGACAACCTCTAGCGGCCCCTCGAAAAGTTTGTTCGTTCGAGACAGCAGAAGTACTTGATCGAATCCGTAACGTCATCCGTGATACGACCACCCCCACTTGGCTTGGTTCCGTCCCCAAGAATTTTGGCGAGGCATCTGCTGGGACAATTAAGGCTGATGAGTGGCGATCCCTTATCACGATCTATCTTCCCATCGCCCTCGTGAGCTTGTGGGGAGCTGGTACATCGCATTCTTCTGACGAAATTGCTGTTCGCCTCAAAACTATCCTCGATCACACTATGGAATTAGTCGGTGCAGTGTATCTTGCTTGTGCACGAACAATGACACCGAGAAGGGCTCAAGCCTATCGCTCGCATATCGCTGCTTATGTCGGAAAGTTGCAGACAATTCATCCCACCTTCTCAGTGCGACCGAATCACCATGCATCATTCCATATATATGATTATCTGCTCCTATTCGGGCCTGCTCACTCGTGGTGGTCTTTTCCTTTCGAACGTTTAATTGGAATTATACAACGCATTCCTATCAATCACAAATTTGGTACGTCCTTTCAAAGCACGAACGAGAAAGTTAGACTTAATCCTGTTAGGGGAGCTTGAAAATACAATGCTTCTTTCCTATATCAAAGCTGCAAGACTTCGCCGTTGGCTCGCCCGACCAGACTGTCCGCCTGCTATTCAAGAGTGTGGGGTCCTGTTTGATCGAGTATTCAATAAGAGCGCTACGAGTTCTATCCATGAGCTTGCCGAAGATCCTATGAATGATGCCATCAAGGTTGCCGACTGTGCAGCAACTAGTGCGGTGCCTGAAGACCTGTATACCCTCATCAGACGATGAACGGCGGTATTACACGCTACACTCAAGTTCGACGGTGTGATCTACAGTAAGGCGTCTACACACTTGGGCAACAGCCAGATTTTCTTCTATCCTCGCGGAGATCGGTCGTTAACCCCTGT